GATGTAATACTTGTCATTTAAAAACAAACAGCAGATATAAAACTTATGCAGAAACAACACTTCAGGAGAAAAACAGCAAACAAAAGTCTCCCAGTTTTCCATGACAGAAGACATAAAGTGATATTTAAAGTACCTGCTGATATCTCAGTGATTTGTTGTCAGCCATGGATGTGGAGCAGCAATTTAAAAGCATCTGTGGAGGATTGTCAGAGCAGTGTTGTTGTTTATGTTTGGAGTTGTGTAACAGCAGAAAGACTGGCTGCAGCTGATTCACCGCTAATAAAGCCAGATCCGGTCTGCCGGGCTTTTTGTGTTGAGAGCAATAAAGCATGGATGAAACGGGAGCAAACAAAAAGATAACAAATATATATATAAACCCACAATATATTGTCACATCTCCTACATGAAGCCCTTCAGGACGAACAGCAGCCTCTGTGTTTTTGCTACATACATTCAGGAAGTGAGCAGCAGCTCCGTAAAGTTAAACATCAGCAGCTCAGTCACCAAAGTCCGGGATGTCGTCGTAGGAGTAGCCTCGGTAACCCTTGGCGGCGTAGTAGGCGATCCTCAGGTGGTAAAAGCCCGGGAGGAAGACCAGCAGGCCTATGATGATGACGGGGATGGTGCGGTCAGGATTCTGGGCACAGAAACCACACAAAACACCTGGGTTAAACTGCACACCTGTCCTCATCCTCATGAAAACAACAGCCGTGGTTTCCTGCAGAGGGCAGCTCAGCACCAGGAGGAGGAGGCTGCCTCCGTCTGCAGCGCAGCTGTGCCTCGTTTCACCAGCAGATGGCAGCGTAACGCTCCAAGTGCTGCAGAACTCACACAGCTTCACTGCAGCATCAAGGCTTTCTTTAAAAAATCTCTGAATATCCGCCTTTTTTATTTTAAGTCGATGCATTTCCTTTTATTTGTCTCTGTAAGGGTTTAAAACAGAAAATAATTATTCAGAACCAGAATAAATCCACTTTTTCACAAAAAAGAATGAGTCTAGATGTTCAAAGTTGAACCTCTCAGCACCGTCATTGTGCAAACAAGGTGGGCGGGGCTTCTCGGGCCAGCTGCTCTCCTATTGGTCACCAGAGAGGAAGGAGCAGGATCCATGTGCTGATCTACTGTGCATCCTTGTGCTGCATTAGTTTAGCTTAAAGTTGAGTTAAAAACAAAGACAAGGAAAAAAAACACTTACCTGTGTCTTTGTTTTTAACTAAACTTTGACATTTATTAGGAGGTGACCTCCCAAAAAACATCTCTAAAATCCATAAAGATTATAATGTTATATTAAAATGTTAATGAAACATTTGGGATGCAGTAGTCTACCTGTTTCAGCTGTTTATAAATCTGTGCTAGGAAAAGCAATTTATCTGAAAAGTGTTTTTTAACAAGTCAAAATGGAACGGGAGTAATAACTTTCTACATTTTTTGTTTGTTTTTTTTAACATAAGGAGTAGAAAGTACAGATAATTGCGTGAAAATGTGAAAGAACTGGAGATCATATCACAAACAATCCTCAGCTCCTGTTTCTCTGTCGTTTCGATTTTTGTTACTTTTAAAGTTGGTTTAGCTTTTGTTTTATTTATTTCAAACTGCTTTTAATAAAATTGTTTACTTCGTATTAACGTGTTTTACTGGTTGCTTTGATTTTGCAGGTTTATTTCTGTGAACAGGTCGGGACTAACGAGTATAAATAAAGGAAATGAATTGATTTTGATTTGATTTGATTTATTTAACAGGAAAAGATCACTAAAAATCAAGCCTGACTCAGCAT